ATAAACTTAAGTAAAAAGTAAAAATGAAAGAATAATAAAATAAAATCAGTTTGCATTTAGCGGGAAAGTCTTGGATAAATTGGAGTCACTCATTAAAACCATCTGCATATGAGAGTTTGTCCAATCTGGACTGAGGAAACTGTCTCAAACATAACATTGGTGACTCGCTTGATAGGGCTAAGAAATAGTTACATAAAAGTTGAAGACATTACAATATGTAATAGTTGGAAATATGTATAAATGTAAATAAAATATATATAAAAATAAGATTTCAGCACAGCAAAAACTTTGGAAAATTTTGGATTTTAGCAACATAAGAATACCAAAACTTACCATATGGTTAAAAACACAAAGTGGGTAAAAATATATCAACCTATAGTAGACTTTTGGTATTCTGTGTTATATAAATTAGAATTATTTCTAAAAACTTTTTTACAGGATATACCAGTAGTGGATAATAGCATAAAAAATATGAACATATTAATTAACAAATTATTAAAGGAAATAATACACCCATCTTATCAAATGATGAGTTTGGACTTTAAATCAATGTATCCTTCCATTAAACTTATTATTATTAAAGAATCATTAAACACTTATGGAGTTCCTAAATATATAAAAATTTTAATCAAATTTACCTTTTCAAATAACTGTTTTAGTGTTTTAAATACATTTTATAGGAAAACAGATGAAATATCGAAGGGATCAGTTTTAGGACCTAAATTAGCAGAAATGTATATGTCCTGGATTGATAGTAAAATTGCAAGTTTTACAGGTGTGCAATTTTTATGCCTGATATGTTGATGATATTTTCTTGCTTTATGTTATATTTTCTGCTGAAATTATATTTGTAAGTGAAGATGCTAATAAACTACATGAAAATTTCAGATTCTATTTCAAATTGAATAAAGATAAAGAAATTAATTATCTGGATATAACAATTAGAAGAGTAAATGTAATAATAATAATAGTGTCAGTGTTGGCTAAAATTTTCGAGAAGATTTTTTACAAGAGATTTTCAACTTTTATAGACAGATTCCAAGTTATTCACAGAAACCAACACGCATATAAACGAGGATTTTCGACGGTAGATGCTTTGTTGCATTTGAAACAATCCATAACGTCACAACTCGACAAATCTAAAATAGCAATTTCTGTTTTTGTGGACCTTTCAAAAGCATTTGATAGCTTAAATCACGAACTCTTGTATCAAAAATTGCAGACTGTTGGTCTAAGAGGGACTCCTCTAAGCTGGTTAAAATCATACTTGTCAAATAGAATTTACTTTGTAAAAATTGGACAGATTATCTCTAGCTCTTTCAGGCCAAACAAGGGCGTTCCTCAAGGTTCAATCCTGGGTCCACTGCTTTTCAATATATATATTAATGACTTGTTTAACTTTATACTAAAAGAAAATATATTGATGTACGCTGATGATCTAGTGATAACTTATTCTCATACAAACGCTATAATTCTTCAGGAGAATTTGAATCACATCTTAAAAATTTTAAACAGTTATATGGAAAACAATGGATTAGTAATTAACAAAAATAAAACTAAATTCCTCTGCTTTGCAAATAGGAATAAAATAATCAATCCGCATCACCTAAATATTAAAATAACTGATTTTAACATAGAAAAAGTAAATGCTATTAAGTTTTTGGGAGTAACTTTTGATGATAATTTGCGCTGGAATAAACATATAGATGATGTTGCACTTTCCCTGGCAAAGTATACTGGGATAAATAAGAAAATTCAGGCTTTTTTAAGCACATCACTCTCAAAACGACTGTACCACACTTGCATTGAATCTAGAATAAGATACGGTATCGCTGTATGGGGAACCGCATCTCTGTACGCAGTTAACAAACTTCAGATAGCACAAAATCGTTACTTGCGTTCAATTTATAATTTAAACTTTATGGAATCAGTATCCGAACTCTACCGCACCGAAAATATTGACAAGATTAGTGATATTTACAAGAAACAGATTCTATTGGAGAGCTTCAAATATATAAACGGAAAAAAAGAAAATAGCTTTCTCGGAATTGGTATAAGTGAATGTCGTAGATCAACACGTGATACTCGTATAATTCGTGACTATAGTCTTCCAATTGTTAAACTGGAGATGGGGAGATCTGCACCGATCTTTCAATTAATCTTCTATTGGAACAGTCTAGGCGACGATTTACGTAATATATCGAGTTATGAAATCTTCAGAAAAAATGTAAAAAAATGGAAAAAAGGTTAAGACTCAACGTTATTTGTTGTTAATTAATTTTTCTTTCTCAGCTCGCGTCCTGATTTTTGTTTGTTTGTTTGTTTGTTTTGATTAACTGTTAAGATGCTTGTAAAAGGCCAACCTGGCCACAGTGTCTTTTGAAAAATAAATAAATAAATAAAAATAAATAAATGAAAAATATCAATTTCTTAAGTATGAAAAATCGTGTAATGTTAAAAAATCTATTAAGTAAAAAAACCATATTGTCCCTCTAGATATCTTTGGATAGATGCAAATATATTCTGTTTATATCCAGAATCAAGTCCAGAAACTTAAGCTTTTATAAACAGAATTTTTAACACTAAGTGGCCGCCAACGTATTTTCTCTTCCATTATTGGGAATTATTTATAATGTTATTTACTGCAGTAAATAACATTATTGGGAATTATTTATAATGTTATTTACTGCAGTAAATAACTATAAATAATATGTTGGCAGACACTTTGTGTTAAAGATTCTGTTTATAAAAGCTTGAGTTTCTGGACACGAATCATATTGTCCATTAACAATTAAGGAAAATGTGTTTATAATGGTAATAAAGAAATTATTATCAAGAACTATGTTAAAGAAAAGATATAGAATATGAAATAGAACAAAGATTCAATAAATATTTGTTAAATGGATATCCTAAGAATCTCTTTATAAAAAATGGTATGATAAGTATGTTTCAGATAGATTTAAAGTTAAAATGAAATCACAGTCTTTTCAATATTTCCAGTTTCCATATATAAAATGTTTATTTGAAAAATATAAAAGCAAATTCCATAAATTTTCCATAGCATTGGCTCCTTCTCAAAAGAACAGAGTATCAAGATTAACACAAAAAAAAAAAAAAACCTAAGAATCTCAATACAGCTAGAGTAGTTTACAAAATATTTTGTGCTTGTGAAAAGGAAACTAAATATTATATAGGAGAAACAAAGAGATTACTTAAAAAGAGAGTAAAAGAACATCAAGCAGTATCAGATAAAGTGTAATGCAAATAACATTACCATGATATTTGCATTGCAGTGAGGCAAATTGTAACATTAACACAGATAATATAAAAATTTGTTTTAAAGAAAAGAATACTGTTAAGAGAAAATTAAAGAATGCTTTTCAACAATAAATAAAAAAATATAAATAATATTAATTAAAATAATGACATTAACATTGATGCATGTTGGGATAATTTGTAAATTATAAATATACTGCATCTGGATTGAATGGTATCACTAAAGAGGCCAAAGCATTGTCACTTTGGCAAAATGCATTTGATAGGTAACTTATAGTTATGATGAAAGTAACAGTAAATAATCCTTTCCTTGTTATAAGTGTTGTTTGAATGTGTGAATCAGTTCTAAAGTTGGAACAGGCTGAGGGCTTTTCCTTGTATTTTTTTTAAATAAATGTTTAAAGATTAGTAGGCCTATACTTTACTATGGCACTTAAATACAGTGTTGTTCATTATATGTAAATATTTGTAATGACTTCTGATTGCTGTTTTGAACAGAAAATGTAATATGCCATTGATTCTAACCTAGGTCATTGCACAATGTCCTTGCATCACGATAGAATTGAGGCAGAGCCAGAACGAAAGACGCAATCTCTGCACCTGCCGGCCACAGTAGAGGCAATCCTTGTACCTTCTGGACATGGGAGACATGATCCTTGCATTATCCAGGTACAGAAAGACAATCCTTGCATCGGCCAGGTATGGAGAGACATTGCACTTGCTGACATGGTGAGGTGATCCAAGAACAAAGCAATCATTCTCGGATCACCTCTTTTCACACCTATTTTCTGTTAGGTGCACGCAATGCTGGTTTTATTTTTGACCCTTAGGTCTAAATTATGTTATGCTTGCTCAGTTGCATGAGAGAGCAAGGACATTGTTTTTGATTAGAGGGGTTAAAGTGACAAAGTCATGGACTCCTATATTTTTACATTTAAATGGATCCTCATTATGTTTTTGGATTCTTCACTGCAATTAATGGAAAATGGTAAAGTTTCATCAAAATCGGCCCATTAAATTTTGGGAACAAACTCAATTCTATAGTGAAGCCCATAGAAGTCATGCTAGCGACTGTGAAATATCGCAAGACAAAGTCGCTGAATTCATGTGATATCACTTTGTTGTGCACACTCATAAAATGACCTTATATCTGAAAAACAAACTCAAACTCCCATTTTTTTATTACAGTCCTGGATGACTCATCGCAATTAATGGAAAATGGCAAAGTTTAATCAAAATTGATCAAACAAATTTTGAGAAATAACACAATTTTGTAAGCCACATAGAACAGGCTTTGCTAACACTCTGCCTCAACAAGACAGTGCACATTGGGGTTTTTTGGCAAGTTTAACTTCTCTAATTTGGAAAAAATTAAAACATTAAATAATAGATAAAATTATGTATAATATATTGTAATTGTTTGTACTTGTTCCATTACTCTTTAGCCTATATACCTATATAACACAATACAGTAGAGTAACAAAGTTTATTAATTTTTACACTAAAGAAAATTTTTTTTAAGCCTCACCCTTTTAAAAATTCTGCACATTGGTCTAATTCTAAGATGCACCTCTATTTCAGACAAGTAAAAATGGATTAAAAAAAAGTCATGAAATGAAGGAAACACGGAATATCTATTTGTTGAAAAATGTTAAGAATTAATTTGTGATATTGTAAATATAATTAATTAATTATTAAAAACTAATAAAAATTTGAAAACATACCAGCATTGTTGTTTGCATCTGCATTATTATTATTCTCATCATTATCACAATTATTTAAATTACATCTATAATTCACATTGCATCTTTCTAGTGCTAATCTGAAAAAAGAAAAATATTGCTATAGATTTAAAGAACAAATTAAACAAATGTATTCATTATTTACAAGAAAAAACTGAAAATATTTTAGACTTTTAGCAGAATAAAAAGATCTATTAAAAATTATTCATTTCAGAAAGATAAATCTAATGTTACAAAATGATAACAAAAGTTACATGTACTCAATCATTTCTAAAACAATACATCTCAAAAACTGGGTTTGTATAAATATATCACTCATAAAACCAACATCAGCAAATAACACAAAAAAAAGGAAAATTAACGTTTTTTAAAAGTTCAAACTGATTACAAACATTCTATTTTTGTTAGCCGTTTGTTCGATATTGTATATACCCAGTGGTGATATTCAGCGGGTTTGCACAGGTTTGGCCGAACCCGTTGTTAACATTTTCAAAGTATTCCGAACGTTGTTAAACACATGTAACATTTCTCAGTGGTTTTGTTTCTTTTAAAAAATATATTAAAATATACGTATTATACTCTGTAACACTACTAAACTACAGCCTTCCGATGCACCATTTGAGTGAAAAAAAATTGTTAAGGAAAAATTTTCTGTTAGCGAACCCTTTGTTAAATATTTCGAATATCACCACTGTATATACCCGAGGATGTCTATTTCACATAGACAAAAGCATTCATAAATTTTCCTTTTTTCTTGTTATTTGCTGGTGTTGGTTTTATGAGTGATACATTTCTAAAACTTTTTAGTTTTATCTATTTGCAAAAGAATAAAGAGTTGAGTATTTAATATGGTGGTTATGGATAGAGAAATCACCAGATGAAACCTGCTAAATATTTTTTTTGTTTTTATGTTTTGCTGTTATTTAGTTAGTCAAACTGCACATAGATTACATATCATATATAGAAGACAGAATAAATTAAAATTAATTGATAGTGTAATTTTATATATTAGTTTCATCATTAGTAATAATATGCACTTTATTTTTTAATATTTGGTAACTTAAAAATTAATAATGCAAACACAGATAAACTGGTTATAAGTTTGTGCCACATATTTGCCATAATGAATTGCATAATATAGTATACTAATTGAATCAATACCTTGTGACAGGAAATTAAAGTTCATATGATACATGAAATAAAATGAAAAATATCTTCTAAGACACAGTTCTTCATTTATACTTATTATCATCACATCTCTAATTAAAACAAATATCAGTTTATTACATAAATTGCAAGATATAAGCTAAATGATATTTAAAATAAATTTTTCTCTAGCTAAATGTCTTATAAATTAAAAATACCAGTACATAATTTCTTGATTACTAATGACATATTACAAATTAATGTTTTACGATGCCTTTTAAGAATTACAACAAAGGACCTAGACGAATAGAATAGTCTGGGTATAAATGCAGTTTGACAAGACCAAAAAATTTCGTGAGGCCCCATTTAAAGATACCAGAGTAAGAAGACTCCAATTTCTTCTTGCACCTCACTAACAAGCTAGTCGTGCGGAGTCTTCCAGTTTTCTTATCTCTAACACTTAAATAGGGGTCGGTTTCCCATAAAAATTCCCTGGGAAGCCAGCTCTCCCTTGGCAGATTGCAAATTTGTCACATTGCCATACCATCGATCCAATGAAATTTCTTCTCGCAACCCAGCCCAGAGTAAATTTTATACGACACTAATATTTATTATTGTAATATTTATATAACGAAATTTGTAATTTTTATTTTTTACTTTTTGTCAAAATTAACTTTATTGCAAACCCTACGTCTGGATTTGCAAGTGGGTTTCTAACGTTCTCGATTCTAAGTACAGATACAAAATTCAAAAGCAGGGTGAGAAAAAACAAAGAAAAATGTTGAAAAAACAGCAAGTTTTAAAATTCCTATTTCCTTGTTTACAATTTCCTCAATTTTAATAGAAATAAAACAAATAAACATTGACAAAATAACACACACCCTATCATTGGGCAGTATATTGAGAGCCTGCTCAAAAATTTTGTTTACCGATTTTCTTAAGAGTACTTGCAACATCAGCCTGTATTGATCCATTATATACTACTAAGTCACAATATTCTTTGTTTAGGATTTAGGTATATCTGTTAATAATAGGTATAAAGTGTGACAAATAACTTATTATTTGGATCTAAATTGAAAACACTTTACAAGTTAAAAAGGTTCATTTCAAAAAAGTCAAAATAAACAATGATAAATTATTCTTCTGTATTATTATCAATATTTGAGGAGATAAGGTAGTTAGGGGTATTAATACAGTACATCTTCACGCAAGATAGTTTGCCATCAAAAGCGTGATGTTTACGATGTAAACAATACTACGGATTACGACGTTACATCCACCGAAGAGGCCTCGTTACAGTCGGGACAAAATGCATTTGTAGATAACGTTAAATTAATAAAGCCGGTTGCTTTTAAAAGAAAGTTGTAGTTTATACAAATATTTAGTTTTAAACAATTCTCTTCGAAAATCGGTAATTACAGAGAAGACTAATTTCTCGTCATTTATTTTGAGAAGTTTTAAAAAGTGTTTTGAATTTTTTTTTGTAATTTGTAAAACAACCATTGTTAAATTTCACAAATATATTTTATACGCAAATACTTTCATTCGTGGACGAATTCGAAATGAAAAATTGTCGTCAACCTAGCACAGCGAATTGTTTATCTTAAAAAAGCATACATGGCGTGTAATTAGTAACACAAGTGCGCCGTTGAGAATACCTTCGAGCTACTTATCGTAATGAGGCAAGAAAGAAACGATGCGTTAAAGGCGTCCGAATATAACCGATTTAATCGTGCGTAGTGAGAATGTAGGTGGACTAAACTGAAATGGAGCGAGACCGTTTTCCATCAGATTCTAAAATCGTTCAACCGTTAAGCTCTACAAATTTCCTACTCGAATCGAAAGGTCTATGTGCTAGGTTATCGAGTCTGTCGATCCAGCAACCAGTTGTTTAACTTTCCCGGCAACATTTAAAACTGCGTATGTGGCGCCTTCTGTTATGATATTTTATTATTAAAAACTTTTTATAATTAAAAAATATATAATGGAAAACACTAAATTTTGATGGTAGGGATGAGTTTTATATTTAAAAAAAATGTAAATGTTAATAGCCAGTAAAATCGTCGTTTAGTCCGACCTCACTCGAGATATGACATACGACCCTCCTTTATCTCACCACCCCGTCAACCTTTAACCATCAAAATTTAATAACATCGATCCTCTAATTAGTCTAATACGTAAATCTCCATGCAAGTTTTCAGAAATTTTCGACAATAAACACTTATTGGGAGTTATTAAGCTTCAAACAGGTGAACAAAATCGTGCCCCCCACATCCATACACACAGAAAAAACCCGAACTTTTTTTTTTGCATTTCTCGACGTTTCAAGGTGCCGAGTCCAAAGATATAAAAATGTTGGGGCCATTTTTTTACCGATCGTCATACTTTCCCTCTGTTATATATAACCGAGTCGGGAAAATAAAAAGATGATCGAAACTCCTAAAAATTCTCTTCTGGAAAGATCGCGGTGGCTCTCCGCATTCGATACATAAAGCTATAATCTAAATTTTACATACACGAAAGACAAAAGTCCCGAATGTAACTATGTATTATTTACATTTATTTTCGTTGTCCGTATTTACGATTAATTTCCATTCGAAATACTCGAGACTCGAGAGGGAGAAGCTAGGGATTTTTCCCTGGGCCCGGAGTGGACCTTACTCCTGTGAAATGAATGTTATTTTCACTAAACAGAAAGTAAAATCTTTGGGTCTTCTTTTTATTACTTAATTTAAAAAAAACGTTGTTTTATTGAAAAATGAAAGCATTCAGTTGACGGGACTACCGGTACAAGATCTCCACGGTCCTGAAAATCCTACGCTTACTTATCGGTGGTTTAACGCGGATTTCACGCACGGATCATTCCAAAAGTACCGTTCTTGATATATTTATAAATAAACGGAAGAAGTTGTTAATTTAAACATTAACAATTATCAAATTATATTTTCTTTTCGATTAATTTCTGAACTACGAACTCTTTCGTATTAATTAGTTCGTTTCACGAATCTCGACCGGGCCGTGAAGATGTTCAGTAGCAAGGATCTTATTTACTTGAAGGGAACAGAGATAGAGAGTCGGAGTTAAGAGTCGAATCTTTTCATGGGAATCGGGAGTCGTATATTTTCCGACTCTCCATCCCTGGAAGGAAACGGGTTGATTGACGAATCTTCGACGTGGTCACCGTGCATTACCGAAAACGGACTCTCGACCCGTATAAAACTTCCAGAACCCCCAGCAGAGTATCCGAGATTACCCGGCCAAGACGTAAGAAACGATCCGTAATTCTCGATCGAGACCAAAAAGTCGGATGCTGGAACGTTCTTCAATATCATGTTCTTAGTATTCTTCGTAATATTCTACGGATCTATGAATAAATTAAAGTAATACTAACTAAAATTTTCAATTCGAATTTTATAATTTCGAAAACACTTGAGAAAAAAATTATATAACCAAATCTCTAATGCAGTGTTTCCCAACCTTTTTTGTGCTATGCCCCACCTAAGCCATTCTAAAATTCTTATGCTCCCCTAACATATACAGCGGCTATACGGTTAACTTAAACTGTGGGCGAGTCCATTTTCTAATTGCCCCCCTGTGGGGCGTGGGCCCCACGTTGGGAAACACTGCTCTAATGTTTCATACACAATCCAGTCTCCCTATTCGCTTATTACGTGTTAACACTTTCCGAGAAAATGTGAAATTCGGCGAAAAACCGTACTCTGGCCCAAACAGAATGTTTTCTACATAAGTCTGTCTAAAGAAATCACCTCGCCATTTACAATTAACAGAAAGATATTTTCAGAAATGTGGATTTATAACAACTACGTAATAAAATTTCGATGCCAAAGAACGGGGCCTGCACCAGAGTATTCGCGAGAGTGGCAAGACACTCTACACGCAAAGCTCGAGATCAGTCCTACGCGGACGAAGTTCG